ATATAACCCATTTAAGTTGCCTGGCACAGTTCTGGCCGCTGACTCAACAAATACCCGTTCTCTTACCCGCCCCATGCAGCACCGCAGCAGATGAGAACCGATATTTCCAGATTCCTGGGCTAACGTCCTGGACAACAACCATAACAGTAACAATACTAGCTAATAGTTATTGAATATTTCTAAATGTTTTACACATATAAATTCATTTAACCAGTGTATGCATAAGAGTATGTACACATTTTAAACATCTGGGCAAATATGAATTTATAGTGGCATGGCATAGTGGAAACGGTGTTGGGTTTATAGTCAAAAGACTCAAGTTTGAACCCTGGCTTTTCTGCATAAGAGCTGCTGATCTCAAGGAAGTAACTTAACTTCTGAGGGCCTGTTTCCTGAACTGTAAAGTGAGGATGAGCCCCTATTCACCTGGTGGAGTTATCTGGAGGATTAGAGGAAGTAATATATGCAGAAGTGTTACAAACTCTGAAACATGATACACATACAAAGGTTTATGTATTCAACCTACTGTCTTCTATCACAGATAGATTTTTAAAAAGATAAAGCCAATTACATACCTGGTTTCAAAATATATTTGCTGCAGTTTCTATATTTACTGTAGCTTCCATTGCTTCAACTTGTTCAAAGGCAGGAAACAAGTCTTATCTTTACACTTCCTTGTATATGTAAAAGCTATGCATAAGTTTTTAAGTAAATATACAGACATTTAAATAATGCCATCACAGGGCTGTATTTGGTAAATCCTAATTAAAAAATGAAATTTAAGAAAATAGAGCGCCTATGTTATGTGTCCCATAGTAATTGCCAAACATATTCATATACAATTTACTCCCTAAACAAGGGTAGCTATTGTTTATTTTCTCTGTTAGTTCAGGAGGTACGGTGTTGGGGGGTGGAGGTGAGGGGAACCAGTTAATGGAGAAGCAGGAGCTATTTGAGGAAGTACTGATGATCAATTAGCTGAAGTGTGAAGTGCCAACAAGAATACCCTGGAGTTTAATAATGCTAGAAAATGATCAGTTACACGTCACTCCAAAGAGGGATAGAGTTTGACAAGACACATTCCATTCTCATAAAAAGACACATTCCATTTTCATAAAAAGAAAGGAAGAACTTACGATTACAAAATTCTGCAATCAGCGACCATTCATTGTCCTTAAGACAGGTTATTGCGGCTAGCTTGCCAGGAACATTTACAAAGTCTTTATTGCATTTGTATGTTACTGTGCTTCCTTCTGGAAAACTTGTACGACCTTCCAAATCTGGCTGGGCATTAGGTACATGCGGGGGAAGGCTGCAGTCACCTAGAGTGAAAAAAACGGAACTGAAGGAAGAAACACTTTTCAATTGATTGCAGCATTCCCTTCCCAAAGTGAACAAGGGAAGCGGCAATGGCTTTAGATGTACTCCTAACATTTCCATCCAGGGCAGAGCTGACATACCAAGAAGTTGCCAGGCTTCCTGTCTGGTCAATTAATTTCAAGACAAAAATAAGTCGAGAATAAACCCGTCTCCTTCATTATTTTTTTAAAGTATTTTAGTATTTATCTCTGCCTAGATACTGTTGCTAAGCACGCAACAAACATAGGACCCCCTCGGAACAGTACACCTGGAGGGAATGGGCAAATTTGTAGCGCCGTGTACTGCACATGACTGGACTCTGTTTAGAGGCGAGGATGGTCAGCTATTTGCCCTTCAAGAGATATTGGGGGTTTGAGAAGTCACTCTGTTTGAGCCCTGACTTTTGGTTTCCGCATCCTTGACTGTTCTGCATACTTAGTTTGTGCTTCCCGAACTCTCCATGTTTCACTCCTAAAGCCATGCCAGCTGGTCACCACAGCAAGACCCTTAATTGCTGGTTAGCAACGGAGATCCTCTTCCTGTCCCACGAGATGGTGCCTGTAAGAGCTCTGAGTCTTAAAAGTAGAGGATTAC